TCAGCTTCTGTTAGGTCCCTGCCATCTTTGTTTCTTATCATACCAATTTTTGCCTGAAATTTACCTCCAGTGAATAGGAAGGTCTCTTGTCCTTCCTATTCTGTTGACTTCTTCCACTTCCATGCATTGCTTATTTAAAAATAGTTCCTTATCTCTTCTGGCTAACCTCTGGAATTGCGCATTTAACTGGGCATATCTCCCCTTATCACTGTTTCCTTTTGCTTTCCTCCTTTCTTGGGCTACTTCCAGCGTCTCAGCAGACAACCATTTTGCCTTCTTGGTTTTCTTTTTCTTTGGGACGTACTTTGTTGCCGCCTCCTGAACAATGCTGTCCATAGTTCTTCTGGGACTCTGTTTACTAAATCTAGTACTTCAAATATGTTCTTCACTTCCACTGTATATTCGCTAGGAATGTTAGTGAGATCATATCTAACTGGTCTGTGTATTTTCCCTGATCTCTTTAGTTTTATTCTAAATTGAGCAATAAGAAGTTCGTGATCTGAGCTACAGTAATGCAACCCTATGTGGTAATTGCTAGCATGTAAGCCTTCCCAGATCTTCTGTAGTTTTCAGTCCAAACATGAGCCCTGCCTGAATCTAGAGACAGCAATATCCATGTGAATATAATTTCTACTACTAAGCAATCGCACATGTCCAACTACAAAAATGTATCCACCTCGTAAGCCAATTCACATACACTAACTGAGGTTAGCAGTGCCCGCAAGCCATCTAAGTAAGATAGGATGTCTTTGTAGGCACAGTAGCATGTGCCAAGCATACTGATACACTAATGGACCTCTGAATCAGGCCAATAAGATATTATTATTATTATTATTATTATTATTATTATTATTATTATCATTATCATCATCATCCTACCTTTCCCCCATAACTGCAACTCACGGCAGCTTACAAAAGCATATAAAATCACAATTATTCTTGCACTATATCCCGTTTTGTTTTTGTTTTTGTTTTTAAAATGTGTGTTTATAATGTTGACTATTTATTTGTTTAGGATGTTTCGAATATCTGTGTGACAGGAACAACTAAAGGTGACTTTGGTGATTCCTCAGGTAAACAATTACTTTTCTCTAAAATGAATGAATTATTATTCCATAAATAATACTTATCCTACATATGGGATTGATAACATGGGTAAGACAACTAATTCCATTATCCTGTTAAATTATTAGATTAGTTAATTCAAGGAAGCATACTCACTAAATGCAAAAAATCTGGAGTTCAGCATGTATTCTTTTGCATATGCAAGCTTCTTATGAAAATAGACACCACCACCACCACCACCACCACCACCCCTTTGTATCCAGTGGATAAAGGGTAGAGGGGATGTGCAAATGCAATTCATTTGTGTATGTTGCATGCTGGGAAATGTCTTTATATTGGTGAGTTTATCTTCTGCTTGATTCTTTTTTTTTTTTGGAGAAGAGTAGCTATTTTTGACAAAGGGAAATTGTAAGACTGTGGCAAGTCTACCACATGCACCTTTTGTTGACATTTTTTTTTAAAAAAAGAATTTCATACCTTGGTTGACAAATATGCATTCCCCAGCCCATCATGAGCATCTTACCATCACTTTTCCACATAAAGAATGGTATTAGCCTTAGTGCAGGGAAATAACTTTCTTGTATAAGACAAGTATGATAATCTTTTCCATTGAGTCATGGAAACATGAACACTTAAGGAAAAAGTGTGATCATAACATTCCAGCATTCAGCTTCATTCAGCTTCATATAGTATATTTTATTTATCTTTTATACCCACCAGCATAGCTAAAGTGGATTTGAATGTATCTCAAGATTGGCCATTTGGGTCATTACTTTAATAATATCATGGTGTTTTTAAATAAAATATAAAAATATATTTTCAGATATCTATACAACTAAATATGATGGAGGAATGGTGAGCAGAGAAGAAACAACAGGACTTGGAGCAGTTAAAGGCTATGGACAAACTGTAGGCTATGAAACAACTACAGGCTATGGAACAACAGGAAGAACAAAAGAAACCTATGGAGGAACAATAAAAGAATACAGGGAAAGCGGCGTGAACATGGCTTTCCTAGACAGCTACTTTTCTGAGGTAACTCATAAACACCGTCTGAATTTTAATACAATGAATTCATGCAGCAGGGAGTGATATTGTTGAATTGTTGATGTTTGGGGGGGGGGGTTGTCAACCTCACCACATGACCAGTGGTCAGATATCGTGATGAAAACAGTGGTTCAATAACAACTGGGTATAGATTTCTCTCCCAAGATCAAAACTATTATTTAGATCAGGGATTACATGATCTTCCCAGGGCATCATCAGTGCAGCCATTTCATCTCTTCCTGGCCATTTAAATTTTTCTTTCTTTTATGTTGACAGAAAAACAAGGATTTTAATTCTATCTTATCCTATTCTTCATTTTTAGAAAGCATTTGCTTATGCTGATGAAGATGAAGGCAGACCTGCAAATGACTGTCTCCTGATATACGATCATGAAGGCATAGGAACTCCAGTTGGTTCAATTGGCTGTTGCAGTTTTATAGGAGATGACCTGGATGACACTTATCTGGAGACACTGGGACCCAAGTTTAAAACCTTGGCAGAAATCTGTTTGGGTATAGAAATTGAGCCATTCCCTGATCCCAATGCACCTTGGCCATCTCTGCCCAATCCTGAAATTGAGCTAAACCTGCCACCACCTGGAACAACCATTGTTGTGAATACATCTCCCCCAGTGCCTCCCCCAACTAATATTGGTAGCACAACAGTTGTTACGGAAAACACCTACACAACATCCTCTGTACAGCCACCAAGACCTATGCCCGACCCTGTGCTCCATGGCAATGTAGTGGTAACTGAGACCTACACATCTATGCCCAAACTAAAGCCTCCCACACTTAACATCGATTCTCTGCATGGATCAAATGTTCTAGTGACAGAAAGGGTACTTGCTCCTGCTCCAGTCCCTGATTTGCATGGCATGATAGATATCCCTGAGCTGCCAGATGGGTCAAATGTAGTAGTCACAGAAAGAGTCATTGCTCCAAATGCAAGGATACCTCCTTCTATGAATATTCCTGATATGGCTGATGGGTCAAATGTAGTTGTAACAGAACGAGTGATTCGACCTGCCACTAGCATGCAGGGCAACCTGGGCATTCCTCCTGAATTTGCAGGTGCACATAATGTGGTTGTTACAGAGCGAGTGGTTTCTGGAGCAGGAGTGAGCGGTGGCATTGGCAATATGGGTATGATGCCTGGGTCTGGTATGAGTGGTGGAGCTGGCAATATGAGTATGATGTCCGGGGCTGGTATGAGCAGTGTTGGAGGTCTGGGTCCAATGCTTGGCCCCGATAACCTCCTTAGCCAAACAATGGGATCAGCGTCTCCTGCTACAGCTCGAAGAAGAGTAACAAAGTACAGCACTATACAGTATTCTAACCAGTAAGGCTGCATGCAATTGCACATAATTGAGAAAGTTCTTTTCTTTTTTAGATTTGCCACCATACCACATTTTTATATTTATACGTAGCAAATCACATTATGGAAGAAAAATGAATTACTCTTGTCTAAAAAAAGAATCTCATAAAGCTATCCATTTCCAAAAGGCACTGAAAGTATAGGAAAACTCTGATGTTGTCTTTTTGTCAATGTACTTAAATGCTAATACTACTGGCACAGTATTTTTTATATATATACTTGATGCTGAAGAGCATAACTGGCCTACCACATTATTTTTCTATAGTCATCTAGCAAAAGCACACATTATTTGCTGTCCTTGTTTTGTTGTCATTGTTACCTCCTCTCTTTTTATTATTTTTTTTCAAGAAAGACAAAAAACAGAATTATGCTCAAAGCAGCTTGACAGAACAGTCTGAGCTGTTTCTTTCCATTCCATTACTTGCCCTATTTTATGCTGTTTCTTTCCATTCCATTACTTGCCCTATTTTATGCAAACCACATAGAATCAGTTTGAGGTCGTGATTCCAAATGTAACACACAGTTCAGTTTTCTTGTGAAGCTCGCTACCTGGTCAGCACAAGACAGCAAAATGACATCAGAGCTGGGGGAAGACAAGAACAAAATTTAGAGGAATTTTGCCCACTGATTCTGTGTTGTTACAAGTAGTTAATGCAGAAGACCTTTACAGAAACAACACAGTCGAATATTACATGTCATGTCATTTTTTATGAATGGTGAGTGAGGCCTTCCATTTAAGTCCTATTGTACATCATCAATTCTTAACATTACCTGACTTTAAGGCCTTTCTTACAGAAACCTTTGAATTCAAACCTTTCTCAGTTCACCACAGATACTACCTTTGACATGGAACTCTTCACTCTATTAATGCATAACCAGTTTCTCAATTTATGCAAAGTATTACAAAGCAGTCTCCTTTATTATAGAGTTTACTTGATCTAGTATATTGATTGAAAAGAAAAGAAAAAATCAATCTATTTAGAAGAAATGATAGAATTGGTTTCAAAACAAGAGCACATCGATAGTGCAAGAAGGGTCACAGATGTAAATAGTATTGATTCTTGAAAGTAACTTGAAACTACCTTACTAAATTTGTATTTTTAGAACTGTACGATAACATTTCTGCTTAAATGCATTGCTATAAAATACTTCGTTGAAACTAGGAATAAGCTCCTTTGAAGTCAATAGGATTTATGTAAAAGTATGCCTGGGTCTCGCACAAAGCAAACTTCAAATTGCACACATTCTTTAATTGCATTGAACTGCATTATCTAGGTCTACAGTGACTCATGTAATGCAGTTACAAACAATATGGATCCAGCCTTCATGTCCTACTACTTAAATTGCATTTTAAAAAGCAAATATATTGGCCAGAAACCAGAGCTGCTTCAAGGTTTGCCCAAGGAGCTTAGATATACCCATAGTTAAACAAATATAGGATACGATATCCAATTGCTTTCAGATAGACTCTGCCATGTGGCAAAGTATTCTAATGTTGTAGGGAAACAAGTCCAAAGCCTAACTGGGCATGCAAATTTGGAATTGCTATTTTTTGTAGAATTCTGGGACTTGTTGCCCAAAAAGTAACTTCCTCTCAGATGTAACTGTCCCAAGTTCTAATATTTTTGGGTTCCAAACCTACATATTTTAACTCTGCATCACATTTAAACTGAATGAAATGCAATACAGACAGCATTTTCTGTTAGTCATTGAAGACAAAGATTTTCTCTGTCACCAAACTATAACAGTCTGTGCTTATGATATCTTCAGTGTTTTTGATAGGTATCTACAGAAATTTAAGGAAATTAAGATGCTTTTGACTACTTCAGGCTGCTCCCTATGTTCTATTCCCCTTTTTAAAAAAATTGTGTATAAAGGGACATCCAGAAAATGGCTGTCAGAAAAACGATGGATAAAGAGAAAACTTATTTCAATCACATCCGCAGCTATCTTATCAAGTGGTCATAACTTTTCTAGCATTGCAAGCAGTTTCCTGCTGCTTACACATTCTTTAATCATGAGTAAGGCAATGTAACTGTAGAAGAGGTTCATAATTCTTTGGAACCTTTCAGTTTCAAGTCCTCGAAGTCCTGAAAGGCTTCTCTGCACAAGAGTATATCAGTAAATTTATTCAAATTTAAATGTAATAGTTTCACACAAAGAATCCTGGAAATTATTGCTTGAAAATTGGCTACTGGACATTTGTCAGTAGTAGCCAGAGTCATATTAAGAATATATCCAATGAACTCAATCAGACATGATGATAAATCTAACTCTAAATTGATTTTAATGGGTCCTAGATATGAAAAAAGCAAAGATCTGAACCATTATATTTAAAAATTTTACCTGGTTGTTGATCTCAATTTGGTTGTAGGTATAAACATTAATTACCATTGCTTTTGAACAAACCAGCAATTAAATTCCTCATTCCAATGAAGTGCCACTTGTTTCCTTCTGAAAATGTTTTCAACAGTATGACAAGAAGCTTTTGCAAATCTTGGGGATTGTTGATTCAATTTTGCAAGTTAATATCAAGTGAAATGCTTCCTCTTCCCTATGTTAAGTCAGCACAACACCTGGAACCAAAAGAACCAAAAGAACCTTCCCCAAAAGTTTATGTAGTATGTACACATTTTAGGATAAATATTAGCGTATAAACATATTTTCTTTAAAAAATATGCTTCATTGTGTAAAACAATACATGCTGTTTACAATATTAAGATTTCTATAAAATTTGGCTGTGTTTTTTTTCTTTACACTTATGGAAATGAATTTTATATTTGAATTAATGTCTATGAACTCAAAAAAATGCCATTAAAAATGCCATTGGTGAATTGTTTTTTCTTCAAGGTATAGAAAATGTCTGTCATTAGTAACACTCACTGAAATGCTTTACAAAGAAATTGTTTAATATTTAGCAAACACAGGATAAGTACTTGCTTTTGTTAACTTATCTGCAGATGGCAATTGTTTTCTTCAGTTGCACACCCATTGCATTTCTCCCTTTGCTATTTTCTAGTGTCCTCATTTTTATTTTTTAAAGAAAGGATTTTGTTTCTGAGGGAACTATTGAAGCTCTGGGATTACAATAAAAGAATGTACAATAATAGTCTGTTTAATAAAACTTCTGGCGAAACTCCTGTGAAGATATTTTATGACTAAATGTGATTTATAAGCTTTCGACAGAACTGAAACATTACTTTTTCTTTACTCCCATTATCATCTCTGAAAACACGACTTTAAGGCTTCCATAAATCATAAACAACTTGAAGGCACACAACAACAACAACAACAACACAGCAACAGATTATTTAATTAGATGTAGACTTCAAATAAACGGAGTTCTATTGACATGTTCTTTAACTGAAGCATGAATACTACAATTTTGTATTCAAATTTCTTTGACCTCGAAAAAAACAGAAGGAGTACTTTATTTTTCTACCCTGCTTCCATCTCCCCAAGGGGACTCAGGATGGCTTACATGGGGCCAAGCCCAGGCAAAATACAGATTAAAAGCAAGGCAACAGCAAATTACAAATTAAAATAGGACAAACAGCATAACAGTAATAAACAAGTATCAAGCAACAGCAAACCAATTTTGGAGGGGGAAAGGAGGCCAACATATGAATTGATTAAGGGGTAAATAGTTCAATAAGGTGGATAGGAACATAAATGGCACAGGAGATATCATGGAAACAGAGCAATTAAACAGGATCAGGGTCATCTCAGTTTAACTTACATATAATGATGTAATATAGGAATTCAGGTTAAATGGTGAAAACAGATCACGATACAATCATTTGTCATAGGGGTCATCAGTCGAAGGCACAACGAAACATCCACGTCTTTCATTCCTTATTGAATGTGACTAGGGAGGGTGCCTGCCTAATCTCCCTAGAGAGGGAATTCCAGAGACGGGGAGCTGCCACCGAGAATGCCCTCTCCCTCACCCCCACCAACCGCGCCTGAGACGGGGGCGGGAGTGAGAGAAGGTCATCCCCGGAAGATCTTAAGGACCGTGTGGGCTCATAGGGGAGGAGGCAGTTGCACAGATAGGCAGGTCCTGAACCGTTTAGAAAATAAAAAAAAGAAAATAACAATATTTTTTTTTAAAAAAATTGCATTCTCCCCAAGGGAACTCAGGGCGGATTCCAACACACAATGGCAAACATCCAATGCCTCCATAAAGCAAACAAGTACCAACATTATAACCTCAGAAAAGCCCCATATATTAATTAAAACAACATTAGAACCTAATTAAACCAATAATAATTAAACAAGAATTATAAAATGATGTAAAATCTGGTGCTTAGGAAAGTAAACTGAATAGTATATTTGGTGCTGGGAAGGAAAAGAAAAGAAAAAATCAGCCCAAATCACCTCCTTCCACCTTCTTTAATGGGAGCTTCCTGTGGACCTGAATAACTTCTGAAAACAAATGGAGCTGCTCCACCTGCTAAAGGGACACCTTGGACACCTTCCAACAATGCAGAAAGAAGTTGAGATCAGAGGGAAGCGGGAACCATGCCCTATAAGGCTTGCCAGGCCACTCTCGTACTTAGCTGTACTTAGAGCTCTTACTGCTTACTCCACCACAGAGGTACTGTTTTTTAATTGTCATAAAATGAAGCCTCCTTGCCAGAGGCTGGAAAAAGTCCTTTTTGGGCCTATAACTTCCAGAAACCATCAACCAATATGCCAAGATCATGCTGGCTGGGAGATTCTGGGAGATTCTGATAATGGAGAAAAATTACTTTACAAGTTTCAGTATTAGCATTGCTTTTGTGCCTTACCCAGTAATGCAAACAGCTGTAGAAGGTTCAAAATATTATACTTAGGAACAAGTCTTTTTTGCATATTTTCACTGGTACATTTGGAACAAATACAAATATTTTCTCTTAGCCAATTTACTCACTTGGGATTTGATGTGAAGTGAGCAAACATCTGGGCAACTGAATGTGGATATTCTGCACTGAATTGAAATGTTTAACCATTCTCTTTGGATATGGAAGGCATCAACAAGACTCTGAACAATATGCTACAGCTGCTACAGGAAGTCATAGAATCATAGAATCATAGAATCAAAGAGTTGGAAGAGACCT